GCTCTGTAAGTATGTTTTTTAGAATCAATTGTTGAACACCTTCCCAATGACAATGCAGTACGAAAGATGAGTTTATCCGATAGGTGGCTCGGGAGTCGAGATATTTAGAAACCCCTTATTTATAGTCTGATTTTGTTCCTATTTAGAACGTATGTATTTGCATATATTAGCTACATGAAAAGGAATAACTCGACTAAAAAAATTTGCCGTTAGGTGGCGCACGAGTGGTTATATTTGATAAACCAGTATTGATGGTCCGATTTCGTTCATATTTAGAAAGCTTGCTTCAAAAATATTTGTTTTTAACTATTAACTTACTTCAAATGGGTCCGCATGGGTCTGTAGTATGGTTAAAGGTGGGAGAGATTACTTTTTTCAAGTTACCAACATTTCCCTTTTACGAAATTTTCTGTGTGTAGAAATGTGGTACCGTAATAATATGACCACACACTGCCCCGATATAGATACATAGTTACATTACAAAATATGGGGCCTTTTCTCTAACTATTTCAAGTCAAGTTTTTCTAAGAGCGCTCGCCCCTCGGCAGGCAAAGGCAATGCCAAACTCTTAGCAAAAGTGTAAGCGCAAAAATATTATGATTCTTATCAAGTCATGCATATGTATGTAAGTATGTCATTATATAAAAATTTAATTTTCAGGCGTTTGATCAGCATCTGAATATGGTACTTGGTGATGCAGAGGAAACAGTAACCACTGTAGAAATAGATGAGGAAACCTATGAAGAAGTATATAAAACAACCAAACGTACGATCCCGATGCTGTTTGTGCGTGGTGATGGTGTTATTTTGGTATCGCCACCTATGAGAGTGGGCTAAAAAATACAGCTTTAATATTTAAAGCAAATAAATTGTTAATTAAAAAAATTATGTCAGTATAAATAAATATATGTGCGCTAAAAATTTTATTTGCTTTTATTTATAACTAAAATCATGATACAATTTTAATTTTCCTTAACATACCTAATTAATTTGCTAATTTGGAAATAGCTACGATCCTGACTACAACCATTCACCTTGTCTCAAACATGGACACAAAGCACATTGGGCGCTAATTGTTGGCTACTTAATAACTGATACAAAAGAGGTATGCGTAGAATATATGTTTTTATGCGCAAATATCATCAATGCAAAAGCATAAGTTTACAAAAAAAAAAAATGTTGCGTTATTTTTATTTCTAAAACTTTTCTTTTGCATTTCAACATTTCAGTTTTATGTGTTGGCGCGCCATGGAAAAGCAAGAAATATCGCGGTATGGTCGTTGGCTGCTCTCAGTGACAGTAATGCAAACCTCAAAGAGTTCGAACAGCCGAAAGGATATCCCGATTGTGATTTTCTGCTACCACCTGGTGGTATCGGAGGCGATTTAGGTTTAAGAGAACGTGCCATAGTTGTGAATAAGTTGCCGCAAGAGAATGTATATACAATACAATCTAACTAATGTTAAATTTCGGCCATATTTTCGGTAACGGGCGTAAGCCCCTAACACACATATATGTATGTATGGGGATACTTTTTTTACATGCAAATTTTTTCTCTTGTAAAGAAATTAATGAAAATAAAACGGTGAATTTATTGTGATGATAATGTATACATAAAAAAACTTCCCAATATCCTTCTGTTATAATACCCGTTCTCAAGCGGACATTTCTCAGCTTAACGAAAACTACAGTATTGGACAGTATCTATAGCACCCCCTTTCAAAGCGATATTGTTTGCCAGTTATGCTTAATTATTTATTTTTAAGAATTTTCAATAAAAGTACAGTTCATTCTCTACAAAATATTGCAACAAATTTTCACCCAAGTATCAAACTTTTTATCAGAAGAGTTTTAGAGAAGAGAATTTTAGTCAATAATGTGCAAGTTTCAAAACTTCCGTTAATATTTTAGAATTTTTTTTCGCAACGAATAAACTAAACTTATTTTTATATGGAAGAACCCCGCATTACCTTCGGCGAAGAGAAATCTAAAAATTCATCGGTAACTTTTAGCCACTAGAAACCTGCATATTTTTAGAATAAAATTGAATGGAAATTCTAGCGCTTCTGAGAAAAATGTTTGAAATTTGGAGGAAAATTTGTCGCATTATTTTGTAGTCCTTGAAAAAGTTTTAAACTTGGGTTTTGTTAGATAATGAATTGTATTATAATTGAAAATTCCTAAAAATAAATAAATAAACATGAGGGGCAACCAATATCACTTCGAAATGGGGGTGCTATTGTATTGGCCAATACTGTATATATGGTGAAACAAACAAACTACATACATATGTATATCAAAGTGGTCCAAAAATGTATGTAAAAAAATAAGGTCGGATTTTTAATGCCGCCACCCCCTAGGATTGTTATGTACCGAAAAAAAATATACCCATATTTTTTTATTTTGAAATCAAAAATATTTAGGGAGTGCTCAAAGCGCTCAAAGTTTTCCATGTATTTTATATGGAGAAAAAAACAATTTTTCGTAGAAATGGTATAAAACTCTTGAAAATCAATAGGGGTATTCTCTGAGTCTTGCAAAGCCCTTGCAAGGTGCACGGATTGCATGGTTTGCAAAGCTGTCCCATACGAAAACCGGTTTTTACCGTGCAATCCGTGCAATCTGTGCACCATGCAAGGGCTTTGCAAGACTCAGAGAATACCCCTAATATTTTTCGACCGGAAAACTGTGGTTCTCTTCAGGAGACTTCCAGTATTAATATCCAATTGTTTATTTAACCATTTTTTATGATTAAAGATTTTTTATTGGTCCCCCATTGCATTTTCTAAGGGCTTTGGAGGACCTGTAAAATATAGTTACCATGAAAAAATTGTTAAAGAAACAATTGAGTATTATTACTGGGAATCTCCTGAAGATAAGTAAAGTTTTCCGATCGAAAAATATTGATTTTCAAGAATTCTACACTATTTCTACGAAAAGATATTTTCTCTCCATATAAAATACATGGAAAACTTTGAGCGCTTTGAGCACTCCCTAAATAGTTTTTGATTTCAAAATAAAAAAATAGGGGTATATATTTTTCGATATAGATCAATCCTAGGGTGTGCCGCCATTAAAACTCCGACTTTATTTTTTTGGACCACTCTAATGTATATATATGGTTATCAACTTAGCTCGTTTCTACGAAAGTCGGGTCTGCGTAAACGGATCGGCCCAGATATATGTATGTATAACAATAGCGGCTTAGTTCGTTAGGGGTTTAAATAACTGATTCGAGTTCAACGGATATGCTGTTCATTTCACTACTTGTTATGTTGTTTGCGGATCAAGAACGGCGAATATTAAAAAGGCGATTTGTTTTATTTCATTGGAACTCTAAAATATTTTTATATTTAATTTTATTGTTACCGACAAACTCACTTAGTAACTATTACATTTTTTATTCTGCATTTTGCCATTAGTTAAGTTAGCTATTCTAATTTTAGTAATTTTATTAGCGTATATCTACATATAGGAATAAAAACACTCAGTTAAATAATTATGTATGCAATTATTAATGTATGTATACATATCGCACACCGTCTTCAAAAGAGTCACAACTCAAAATTTGGCATTTTTGATATTATGCGCTAAAAATGTACACAGATCTTTTATTTAACTTTCAGCAAAAGCTCGAGCAAATTTTTGTTATAATTTGTTAAAAAAAACCCTATGGTAAAGTCGACCTTGCCCTATGATTATCATGTGCTAAGAAATAGTTTTTCGCATTTTCTGGCAAACGTATTATTTTGAGTTGTAACTCTTTTGACGACGGTGTGCGATATGTAGTATGTTTTGTTACAATTAATTCCCACAGCATTCAGTCAATCGCATTATAACGTTTACAAATTCATATATCGCGCATTTAATAATATAACGAAGTATTTAAAAATTTCAATTTTGTGAGAAAACGCAATCAAAGTTTTATCATTTCATAGTATGAATTTCATACAGTTGGTATATAAAAAGACAGATGGAAAGACACATATCTTCGCCATATTTGGGAAANAGTATGTTTTGTTACAATTAATTCCCACAACATTCAGTCAATCGCATTATAACGTTTACAAATTCATATATCGCGCATTTAATAATATAACGAAGTAATTCAAAATTTCAATTTTGTGAGAAAACCCAATCAAAGTTTTATCATTTCATAGTATGAATTTCATACAGTTGGTATATAAAAAGACAGATGGAAAGACACATATCTTCGCCATATTTGGGAAATTTAGTTATCTGTTAGACTCAACATATTCTTCTTATCCAGCTTATTAATTGGTTAATGAAATCTCCAAAAACCTAAATTTTGAGTTACATCTCTATATTATTAAACGTGCGATATGTATGTATATCATTTAATTTCAAAACCTCTTAATTAAAAGCATGTTTTACATCTTTTATACCAGCAGGAAGATTCTGTAATTCACTTCCGAGTGAATTTCAATTAACTCGCTTTGAATTCAAATTGACAGGGGTATGATTTGCAGAACCTGCCTGCATATGAACTACACATATAGTTTGGAAAGATATTTAGATAGGAAATTTGTACATTATACTGAGGCAACATGACCATTTTATTATGCGTACATGTAGAACTAATCGCACATTCAAGTATGTCTTTCTCACATCAAACAATTTCAGGAATCTTAATGTAACCGAATATGCATTCGGTACTCGTCTAATGGAGTAACTGTAGATGTACCCTTTTCAAGCTTAATAAATACAGAGAAGCATTTCGATGAAATTGATTTGAAAAAATGTATTTGTCAAATTATGCGAGATATGCCCTTNATTTCAAAACCTCTTAATTAAAAGCATGTTTTACATCTTTTATACCAGCAGGAAGATTCTGTAATTCACTTCCGAGTGAATTTCAATTTACTCGCTTTGAATTCAAATTGACAGGGGTTGAAATTCACTCGGATGTGATTTGCAGAACCTGCCTGCATATGAACTACACATATAGTTTGGAAAGATATTTAGATAAGAAATTTGTACATTATATATAATCGATACTGAGGCAACATGACCATTTTATTATGCGTACATGTAGAACTAATCGCACATTCAAGTGTCTTTCTCACATCAAACAATTTCAGGAATCTTAATGTAACTGAATATGCATTCGGTACTCGTCTAATGGAGTAACTGTAGATGTACCCTTTTCAAGCTTAATAAATACAGAGAAGCATTTCGATGAAATTGATTTGAAAAAATGTATTTGTCAAATTATGCGAGATATGCCCTTTTCGAAATAACTTATTCAACTGTATTGAAAGATCTCCTAAGATAAACATAAAAAACCTAGCTCTAAAGGAAGTACATAGTATATCAATATTTTATGTTGCAAACCGAAACACACAAGTTGTGTTCGTTTGGAAAAGCCAGCAAGAATTAGACAGCAACAAAATTGAGAAAATAAGGTATCTATAATAGTAATAAAAGCGGCATTACTGCCTTACTGATGAAAAATGGCAGCATTGTTGCAACCGCCCAACTGATAATACTTTGCTAGAAATTCACACAGAACGTGATACTTTAATAATTCGCGCAACACTGCGGTTGTGATGTCAACTCGAACAAGCCCAAACGTTTTAATTTCTTTGTGGAAGTCACTGTCGACTGCGTACCGATTACAAATACAGCTTTTTCAGCCGAGTACCTTTCAAATATTTGGAATTAATTAAACTAATTAAGTAAACAAACATGTATATACTTTATGTGGAAGAAAACCACAAATCCTTCAGCAAAAAAAGTGTCTAAAAAATCAACGGTAATTTTTAGCCACTTGAAACTTACACATTATTACACTAGAATTGAATGCGCTATATATACTTGAAACTTGCACTTTATTATCTATCTATATATATATAAATGTGAATGTCTGTTTGTTTATTACCTTATACCTTCTGAACCGCGGCACGGAATCGGCATGAAACTTTACACACTTAATTGCTTTTACCACGTGGAGGTTATAACCATAGAGAAATATGGACAGCACTGTAAAAGGAGGCGTGGCACCTCCCTAACTAACTAAAATTATCATGTTGTGTATCTCTTGAAATATTTGTCGGAACCGTAAGTCACATGAACTTGAAATTGGGTATGCAAAAAGAGGC